CCCCCCCCAGCAGGCCTCGAAAGTGGCGACAGTTTCACAGATCGCAGCCCCCCAGGGATGGCGAGGTCCCATTTGAGTCCGCCGTGGGTATCCACTGTGCTGGCCCCCCCAGCAGGCCTCGAAAGTGGCGAGAGACTCACAGATCGCAGCCCCCCAGGGATGGCGAGGTCCCATTTGAGTTCGCCGTGGGTACCCACTGCGCTGGGCCCCCCAGCAGCCCTCGACAGTGGCGACAGTTTCACAGATCGCAGCCCCCCAGGGACGGCGAGGTCCCATTTGAGTCCGCCGTGGGTATCCACTGTGCTGGGCCCCCCAGCAGGCCGCGACAGTGGCGACAGTTTCACAGATCGCAGCCCCCCAGGGATGGCGAGGTCCCATTTGAGTTCGCCGTGGGTACCCACTGCGCTGGGCCCCCCAGCAGGCCTCGACAGTGGCGACAGTTTCACAGATCGCAGCCCCCCAAGGATGGCGAGGTCCCATTTGAATCCGCCGTGGGCACCCACTGCGCTGGGCCCCCCAGCAGCCTTCGAAAATGGCGACAGTTTCACAGATCGCAGCCCCCCAGGGACGGCGAGGTCCCATTTGAGTCCGCCGTGGGTACCCACTGTGCTGGGCCCCCCAGCAGGCCGCGAAAGTGGCGACAGTTTTACAGATCGCAGCCCCCCAGGGATGGCGAGGTCACATTTGAATCCGCCGTGTGTACCCACTGTGCTGTGCCCCCCAGCAGCCCTCGAAAGTGGCGACAGTCTCGCAGATTGCAGCCCCCCAGGGATGGCGAGGTACAATTTGAATCCGCCGTGGGTACCCACTGTGCTGGGCCCCCCAGCAGCCCTCGAACGTGGCGAGCGACAGTTTCGCAGATCACAGCCCCCCAGGGATGGGTTAGGTACAATTTGAATCCGCCGTGGGTACCCACTGTGCTGGGCCCCCCCAGCCGGCCTCGAAAGTGGCGACCGTTTCGCAGATCGCAGCCCCCCAGGGATGGCGAGGTCCAATTGGGATTCGCCGTGTGTACCCACTGTGCTGGGCCCCCCAGCAGGCCGCGAAAGTGGCGACAGTTTTGCAGATCGCAGCCCCCCAAGGATGGCGAGGTCAAAGGCAGGGGGAAGAGAGGGGCGGGAAGGAAGGTTCGCGCGAGCAGTGCTCTATTCAAAACGAGAACCCAACGCAGGAGGGTTGGAAAAAATCAAAACGAGGCCCCCGCCTGAGAGGCCCCAAAAAAGCCAAAAGAAATCCAACAGCCACCCCTCTCATCCCTGTAACTGTCAAAAAAAATCAAAAAAAATCAGAGGAGAACTCCTTCCCCCCCCGCTTCCTCCTCTTCCTTTCCCCTCCTCCTCCTCATTCTCTTTCTGTTTCTCTCTCTCTCGCTCTCTCTCTCTTTCTCTCTCTCCCTCTCTCCCTCCCTCCCCTCTCTCTCTCTCTCTCTCTTTTTTTCTCTCTCTTTCATTACTTAGTATAGCCCTCTCATTATCTCGTTTCCTCTCTCCCTCTCTATGTCGGACGCGCAATACTTCTTCACTGTTGGAACGCAGTGCTCTGGATCCATCGAAGCGCAATGCTTCGTCCTCGTCGGAAGCGCAATGTTTCCTTCTTGTTGGAAGCGCAATGTTTCCTCCTCGTCGGAAGCGCAATGCTTCCTCCACGTCGGAAGCGCAATGTTTCCTCCTCGTCGGAGCAACGCCCTGGATCCGTCGAAGCGCAAGGCGCCGTGCTTGTCGGAAGCGCAATGTTTCCTGTGTGTCGGAAGCGCAATGCGTCCTTTCTGTCGGAAGCGCAATGTTGCCTCCTCAGAAGCGCAATGCTTCATGTTTGGTGGAACGCAGTGTTCTGGATTCATCGGAGCGCAATGCCTCGTCCTCGTCGGAAGCGCAATGTTTCCTCCTCGTCGGAAACGTAACGTTTCCTCATCTGTCGGGAGCGCAATGTTTCCTCCTCGTCGGAACGCAATGCTCTGAACCCCTCGAAGCGCAAGGCATCGTGCTTGTCGGAAGCGCACTGTTTCCTCCCCGTCCCTTCCACTCCCAGGCATGAAGGTCAGTGCGGCGCCCGATTCGGTGAGAGACACATAATTAGCGAAATGGAAGGGGATGGGAGGGAGGGGTAGGATGTCATATGTAGCGCGAACCACAAAGCGATCGAGAGCATGAGCAAATTCAATGATGCGTGCCGAAAGAGCGACGTGCAGCAGCAGGAGAAACGGACTACTTTCGGAGGAAAGGGGCAGACGTAGAAAGATGCCGAGGCCGATGAGGTCGACCTCAGGGGCGATCTACTTCCTGACCACGCGGAACGAGCTGAGAACGAGCGGGTCCAGTGGGAGCAGCGGGGCGGTGTTATCGAAACAGGCAACCGCAAGACGTTGGTGCTGATGCGCCTCAGGCCAAGTCTCACCAAGCAGAGGGCGCCAGGCCCAGGCGCGATACGCTTGCCTGATTGGACGCCGTTCGCTCACAGGAACTTGAGCAACAGGAGCGTTGTGCCCCAAACGTGCGGTGCAAAAACGCACAAGGTCAAGGTCGCAGGGATGCTCCACGACCACGTCGTGCACCAGAGGAAGCGGCTCATGAAGAATGGCATGCCCGTGAAGAAGAACGGCCGCCAGGTGTGGGTGAAACCCACGTGCGCCAAGAAGTTTCAACATAAGAGAGAGCGTGATCCACCGCCGCTTTACTGTGGAAAATTGCCAACCTTTTCCTCCGGAACCCGGGGGTCTCCCCCCCCCCCCCCCCCCCCCCCCTCCGAAACACCCCCCCGCCCCCCCCTGCCGGAAACCCCTCCTCCCCCCCACCCCCCCCCCCTTCTCCCGGCCAAAACCCCCCCCTCCCCTAAACCCCTCCCCCCCCCCCCCCCCCCCCCCTCACCCCTCGAAAACCGAGGGGGTCACTACCGGTTCGAAAACCCCTCCCCCTCCCCTCCCACCCCCCTCCGGATCCGGTAAAAAACCGGGGGGGGTCACTACCGGTTGGAACCCCCCTCCCCCCCCCCCCCCCACCCCCCCCCCCCCCCCCGAAAACCGGAGGGGGGTCACTACCGGTTCGACCCCCCCCACGCACCGCCAGCAAACAACTCCCGGTCCCTACCACCGCTCGCATCACATCCCCCACTATTGTTCCGAGCACCACTTTCCTCACCACCACTGTCCCCACTGGTTCCACCACCGTCCCTATTGTCCCCACCAATGCCCCCACCACTGTCGCACTGTCCCCACTGTTCCCATAACTGTTCCCACCACGGTTCCACTCTCCCCACTGTCTCCACGAACCCAACCACTGCCTATCCCCATTGTCCCCACTGTCCCACTGACTCCTCCGCTGTCCCACTGAGCTGTCCCACTGTTTCCACCACTGTCCCCACTGTCCCCACCTGTCCCCACTGTACCTCTGTCCCATTGTCCCACCGCCGTCCTCGCCACCGCCTTTACCAGTGTCTCCACCACCATTGTACCCTCCACTGTCCCAGTGTTTCCACTCATTCCCACTGTCCCCACACCACTGTCCCCACCACCACCGTTCCCACCACTGTCCACTGTCCCCCCTGTTCCCACCATTGTCCCCACCACTGTCCCCACCACTACCGTCCCCACCACTGTCCCACTGTCCCCCCACTGTCCCCACCACTGTCCCGCTGTCCCCTCACCACTGTCCCCACCAACACCGTCCCCACCACTGTCCGCACCCCCACTCGGTTTTCGAGGGGGGGGGGGGGGTTCGAACCGGTAGTGACCCCCCCCCCTTTTCATGATGAGCTGGGGGGGGGGGGGGGGGGGGTTCGAAACCGGTAGTGACCCCCCGGTTTTCCAGGAGGGGGGGGGGGGGGGGAGGGGTTCGAACCGGTAGTGACCCCCCCCCGGTTTTCCGCCAGCAGCGGTAGAACACGCTCTTTCCAACATAAACATCCTGGCGGACGAGTCCTCAAGTCCAGGGGCGGGACCCAGATCATCGACAGGTTCTGGCAGCACTTGCGCGGCTTCATCAAGGCCAGGAAGAGTTCCGTTGGCTCGGTGTCATTGAACGCCAGGGTCCCATCGGCCCAGTGGGCCTACTGGCATGCCAACGAGGACCTGTGGCTGGAGACTGGCAAGATGTTCAGCCGCTTGAGGGGGGAATTAGCTTGTAGACTGCAGGCTTAG